GTGTCCCCAGTCTCCCCATCCCTGCTTGCTGCAGGAGCGCTTGAGCTTCCCCCTTCCCTGGGCACTACTGAATTTGCTTGGACTGAAAGACTTTACTGTGCATAGCACTTGGAAATTCTGTTGAACAGTGGACTTTGAAATTGGAGGCTGCTTGAACTTAGAGCTGTTGAGGACTGCAAAATATGTTCCAGGGTTTTGGAGGCTCAGTCACTTAAACTTGCCGAGCTGGCTTTGGAAGGGAGGGAGCACAGATTAAATTGGAACTTAGGAGCTTTTCTCCTTTTTGGATTGACTTGATAAGGCAGGCTTGGTGAGAAAAGAGCTATCAGAACTAGAAAAGTGGGTGATAAGAAAAACAGCTCCAGATATATGTTGTGGACCAGATGCGTTTGTACAGTTTGGTGACCAGTAGTCCTCTCACATTGTCTCTGGGCATAAAACCTGGGTGAATAAGAAGACAAAGAAACAAATTGCTCTGGAAGGGTTACTGTGTTGGTCTAATAAAAGGTATCATTTTGGAACCAAGAGTTCCAGTTTTCTGTATGTCTTATTGACATGTGAGCTTTAAGTAAAGAGATACAACAAAAGGAACAGCTGTTAAAGACAGTGCAAGAAGCCAAGAAGCTGCAGCAGCAGCCCCCCCCCCTCGCTCCTGCCAATTGAGAAGTGACCTGGGGTGGGGGGCTGGTGACACCTGGCAAGGGCTGCCACTCGCCTGCCAAGCAGACCCTGGCTGGTGTCCCATACTAATGGGAGAGGGGACAATGGAGGGTTTTAACCACCCCCCACTCAAGCTACCAGAACTCTGGAACAGGGTTTTCCACCCCCACTCTGTCTCAGCCAACCGGAGCAGTGATAGCGCTCAGCTAGGGAGGAGAGGTGCGGCCAACCCTGCTCCGCTGGAGCAGCCAGCACAACCCAGTCCAGCCCATGGCTGCAAAGCATACTGGGATGCTGGGGGACTGTGAGTTAACTTAAACAAGGAAGGGGCCTGGGACAGATGTTCTATAAACTGGTTTGACCTAAATCAGTTAAGTGTGATACTACATTCAACCAGGTTAACCTTAAACTAGTTTTGGCCATTTTGAAAATGGTTTATGTGCACTGAACTGCTGTTCTGTTACAGGTTTTAAACTGGTTTCTGATCGCTTAAACTGGTTTATGTGCAACATCTGTCCCGAGCCCAGTGCAGCAGGGGCTCTGCATGCTGTGGGCTGATTTGTCCCATCCCATAGCTTGGGCAGCGTTGGCCTTTGCTCTAGCTTGTGTAAGACATATTTGCTACAGCTGAGCTATTCCTGGTTGATGCTGGTGTGGGGGGGAAGGAGAGAGGTAGAGGAGGTTGGATGGGTTTCTCTTGTTGGTTTATTTGTTTGTTTGTAACCATGAAAAGCTCAAAGAGTTTGGGAGGGCTTATTTCCCAATGTTGTGTAGGATGCCTCACATCTGGCACCCTGCTGCCCATGTTACTGGGAAGAGCAGCCATGCTCAGAGGTAGGAGCAAGCTCTAGCTTGCCTGCCTTCCACCAGTCAGGAGCTTCATGGGTATGCCTCTCTGAGGTGGCCCCTACCTACCTAGAGCCACTGGTGAGAGCAGTGTCTGCTGCTGGTTGGGTTAGTCAGTGCAGGGTACCTTAGACTAACCAGTTCAGAGAGGCATGAGCAGGCAACAACTTACTTCTTCTGACAATAGGAATGGCATCTGAACCAGTTACTCTTTAAAGTGCCACCCTGCCCTGCCTTCTGTTGTATTTCACACTAACCCAGCTAACTACTGCAGTCAGGACTACTGATAGTTTGTTTTTGCTGTACTCAGGGTTCAAATTATACTCTGACTCCGGGGGGGGGGGGGAGGCAGCAGCCAGAAAGCACCACCGCCACTGCCTGAGCTGCTTAGAAAGGCGCTAGGCAGACCAGGGATCAGACCATGCTCAGCCCCCATGAACACCCCCCCACCCCATATTTCAAACCTTATTACTGTACTCGGAGATGCCCTTTTTTTTTTTGGATGATAAGAGTCAGCTCTGTCCAGCACACAGGTAAGGGTGAGGAAAGATGCAATAACTGAGATGTTTCCTAGTGAAACACACTTGGAAGTATTTCATAAAGAAAATGTCAGCCAGGGAACACACATACCACCTTGGCTGCAAAGTTTCAAATGCTGCAGCCTACCCTACCCAGTAAGGGTCCAGCAGGGAGGGTGTGTTGGGGGGCTAAGCCAAGCTTTGGGGCTCAGGTACTAGTGGGGCTGCAGGGGTCACAGTAGACTCAGCTAGATAGAAGGCAGGCTGTCCACCTGCTTCACTCCCTGCACACCACTGTCCCTGTGCAGATGGAACAAAAGTAAAATGCTCCAAAGTAGCACTTCATTTGAAGAGGTACTATTTTGGGAGTGCTTAAGCCATTTTTTAGAAAATTGTAAATGTCTGTGTGTGGACAGCTCAGGCTTTGAAACATTTCAGAGGCCCTTGAAACACTTTAATTATGTCTGTCCACACCTTTACTTAGGATTTCTTGTTCTGTTGGTTGGTGGATGGCTAGCCTTTTTTCCAGAAGGACTACAGTACTTTGATGGGTCAAATGCCATCTCTCTCCAAGGTCTATCTGTGACCAGTTGGGGTGGGAGACTGATATCATAATGGTGCAGGGTTTTGCCCTGACAAATTTCCAGTGTCTTAGATTTTGGGGCAAGTGACTGGGGTATGCTTGCCTGTGTAAGACACACACTCTGGGGAAACTTTCTCTTTGGACATCTTCTAGCTTGGACAGATGCACACAAAAAAAATGGCTTGCATGGTGTGTGGGGAGGGGGGAGGATTGCCTACCTGGTGGTGGCGGCTGGGGGCTTGTGCTGCTTACATGGCAGGGGGCATGGGAAGCCCATGTGAGCTTCGAGGCATGCAATCCATGTCGTGTATGGCCTGGAGCCCAAGATGTGTGGTGTGAGGCCCCCCAGCTGCTCTTAAGTGGAAAAGCCTTGATGTAGGTATTTAAAGATATACAGAAGGGCCTATTCAAAATGGGTTAGGTATTAAATTCTTATTGAAATACCTTTGAAATTTGGGTCCTTAATTTTTAACAATTGTTAATACTTACTTGATACATTTTTGGAGGTAGAGCATATCTAGGAGTAAAATGTCACACAGCCTTTGGACCATTTGTGCTTTATGGAGAAAAGGAGCTGTTCTCTTCTGCTTTGTCTACTACAGTGACACTGATCCAGCAAAAATATGACATCTGAAACAGAGCCCCCTTCCTCTAATCAGTACGGGGCAAAACAAGCTGCAAGGGGGATCTGAATGTAAATGCGTCAGGCATGATTGTGAGAGCTACACTGACTCTTGTCCTGCTGGTTTATCAGAAGGTGGAAATCTGCCTGGAGAGATTATGGTTTAATGATGAATGATGAGTGGAACTGCGTAATGGAACAGATTATACAGGTGAAGATTTACTTTCTAATTTGCATTAGATGATCTTGAAAATCAAGTCCCAGGGTTGTAATCTCTGCACTATGATTGCTCAGGCACAACAGTCATAGAATAGAGGCATTGCCAGACTGAAACAGACCCAACGTTTGCTGAGTTTAGTGTCATGCCTCTGATACTGATCAGTATTGGATGAACCCGAGGAAGGTGCAAGAATTCTGCAGTGGTAGCAGTGGCATAATACATCCCCCATGTTATATTGTACTGGGGTCTCAAACTGGATTGAGTTTTGTAGCATAAAATATAATATTTCTAGCTAAATGTATATTAAAAATCATGATAACCCTGAATGTTCCTGATAGCCATATAAAGGCCCAGTCCTTTTTTAAATAGACATGTGCCTTAAGTGTAAAATGCACCAGGTATTTTAAACTGAGCTGATATCATGCACAGAAACAAAACCACACAACAGTTCTGAGACAGGATAATATATTTTATACATTTTGTGTACATTTTATTTCTGTGGTCTCACTCTTATGTTTTAAATAACTTTAAACATTTTTATTCCCATCATATACCTGAATCACAGCTCCCTCCCCTCAAAAAAATGTCAGGATGAGTTTCACAATTGACATCATGATAAAAAAGTGAAGACTCAAAAGCAACCCCTTGCTGAGTGTAAAAGATTGCATTAGTGAAAGTCAAAAGTATAATTTTCAAAGCACGGAGAACCTTCAGTATATTTAAAAGAAAAGATAATGAAAGGTCCACTTCAGTTACGTGGCAACCTCAACTGAAAATGTCCAAGATACTAGTCTCCTTGTCTAGTAAAGAAAATGGCTGGTTGTCTTTGAAAGAGATGGGAAAGAAAACTTCTTTCAGAGGTCACCAGTACTTTTCCTCATAGCCACTTACATTGAGTCCTCAACTCTGTCATCTGGGATGAACAGAAAACTAATAGCTCTACTCTTTTAACAGGCCAAAATTTTCATGGAGATGAGAGTGTGTTATAATTTGTATTATACAAGGCATCTAATTAGAAGATTCTTTTCTTAGTGAGAAAATAATATACACACAATTTTTTTTTATCTGTATAACAAAATACTAATAACACAGCTTTAACACCCCTGAACTTTCAGCTGTAATTGTTTTAGGATTTAAGGAGGAATTGGGAATGGTAACACTTAAAAATTCTATCTGCTGCTACTCTTGAATTTTTTAATTAATTTCTATCCTATGGTAGCATATCTTGAACCGTCTAGCACAAGAAGGATATAAAAAAATCTCAATTGTACATGTAGGTCATTGTACATATCTAAGATGGATACTACTGCACTGTCACAATTCTTATAATTAAGTACACTAAAGGCAAGTGGTCTGAAGGGGTATAAGATCTGGCCAGTTAGACATTAACATGAAAAAAGGTTACCATTTGAAGACCCATAAATTGTACATGCTGTTAGCAAGTGACAGGGAGAGCTCTACAGTTATTATGAGATCCTGAGTCCAGCCTTCAAGTGTCACTCTTAGGCCCAAGTTCTCTTGCACATCCCTACAAAATATTTTAAAAAATCCTATACTTAAAATGTTTTTATTTTACTAGTCTACAATCCTTTATGATAGCTAGACTATCGATTGGAAAAGAAAACCTTATTTCAAGTATTTATCGACTTTAGAGTCATCATTCTTTATTGGAATTCTGTGAAGATCCTGAGACAAACACTCACGTTCACTCAAGCACCTAAAAGAACCAAAAGAATCCCCAGAATGGCTTTACAAATCTTTGATAAGATTACCTTCCATCAGTTCATACTATGTAGTATAATGAAAGTATTCAAAAACACCGTTCAACCTTCCAAAACAAATGTCAAGCTGGCAGCTTGATACAGAGGTCAACTACCAAGTTCAGCAACTGTTGGCAGCTATGTTGCCTTATTGTTTACAGTCATTTAGAATTAAATGCATCAAAGGCCATCCATGCTTGATGGTGGTGATTTGTGAGGAATACAAGAGCATCAGCAATCACAACACTGCTTTGCAAAGGCTAAGTGGAGCAGAGTGAAAACAAGGGGTATGGCAGAATTGAGGTGTCTGACAATTGCAGCTTCTGATTTTCACGTAGTACTGCACAAAAACTAACAAAGGAGCAATGAACAAGCGAAAAAAAAAATCACTGGCTTCCAAAAAACAGATATGGGTTCTACATGATTTTTGATTTTTTTTTAACCCTGGATTTATCAAAAGTGAAACCTCATTCCTCATAAGAACATGATGCTGTTTTTTTATCAGAAAAGAATTCTACATGGAACCCACTTTGCATACAGTTTTTAATTAATAATTCATTTTCAATGTCTTGAAAACTATGCCTGTAGTAATACTTCAACATATTACTCACATTCATGAGTTCATCAAGAAATTAGTTCCATCTACTACCTCTCTGACCTTCAACATTAATTCTGAAGAGCTCAACTTTTGAATGTGAAGTTTAAAAAGATAAGTAAAAATAGATTAAGATTTCAAAATGACATTTTTAATAAACCAAGCCCCTTAAAAACATTTAATACTAATCCACATGGATCAGACCAGCTAAAACACTCATAAATTGGTCTAATTTATAGTTCTCCCCAGTTTAGCTCCTCAAGCCTACAACATTATGCACACTTACCTTTGAGCATATAAATGCTTTATGCAGCACTTCAGTGGAAGTACTTATAGACTTAACTTGAAGCCAACGCATAAGTGTTTGTAGGACAAGGCGAATACATTTTCACAGATCAATACAATATAAATAACCTTGTTGTTCAAGTGGCATGTACATGACTTGCTTTCCCAAAATGGTATTCTGATTCTCTATCCCCTCAGAGTGTTGAAAAAATCATACTACAACTTCATTTATTGCCTCCAAGACCCTAATTAGAAGGCGTAAATCAATGCACAAGCAATTTTAGGACTGAGAATTTTTTCATCTTGAAACTTCTATTTAATTTCTTTGGCAAGGGTTTGTAATTGTGCAATAATTATTGCAGCACTGGGAACTTACTGATCATTTATAACTAGCTGGGTGATTTGTCTCACTGACCAAAATAATCATCAATCTGCAGCTAATCCTCTGGGCTGAGGTAGCTACCACTACTACAAATTGCTTTTAAAAAGAGCTTGAAATACTCCGAGATTCTTTCAGAATGTTTACATGATATTTTGAGAACACACAAGTGACATCATGTATTTGTACATCCCTAGGTAGGCCTAGAGACTTACTGTTTGGGACACCGTGAAATGTCATTTGCTCCAATTATTTCAAAATGTCTACAAGAAACCAGTTGGCTTAATAAACCCCAGACTACTTTGCCTACTATTTTTCATGTTGACATTTAAAATGTTAATTTAGGACACATTATATAAATCAAATATTATCCTAAATATTTATTAAAGCAAATAAAATGAGTTTTAACTTGCCTAGATCTCTGCATTTTACAGACCAGCATATAGGTAATTACAAGCAATTTAAGGGAAAACAACAGCCAGATTAAAACAGATACATTTCACAAGAAAGCAGTTTAATAGTTTTTTTATCCTTTGTAGGACCTTTCATTCCTTTGAGAACAGCAGCAATTAATATTGTAGAAGTGGGTGGTTTTTGGCAATTTTAGAATTGTTTTCCTCAAAATGAACAACTTTGTTTTGAAGTTGCCACATTACTGTTACTATTGTGATTGCATTCTGAAGAGTTCCTGGGATATACAAATGACCTACTTCTAAACAGGTTTTTATACACTACAGACTAAATTTTTTAACTTACAAATACTTATTTTTTTTCCAGTTTACAATGGTAAAAAAATGAAGACTTCACAATGTGTGTAAATGGGAGGTAAAGATACTTTTAAAAACAGAATAAAAAGCTGCATGTTAAAAACTGGGTCACAGACTAATAAATACATACATCAAAGACATGACATTTTCAGCAGCTGGTTTTAAAGAGCAAGGAAGTAGGGGAAAACTAGCTGTCCAAACTCCATTCTGGCTTTGTGATCTATTTGCCTGGAAAGACAAACTTACTGTAATTTTTTTTTGTTTACAGTAAAAGGATTTTCTAGAAGTCCACCAACAAGACTTATTAATTACAAAATAAAGAAGTATTGTATCAACCTATCACCAACTTCCAATATTCAGGCAAAACATAAAACTAGTTGCTAGTCGGTTAAAAAAGAAAAGAAAAGAAAAAAATGCTTAAAAGATACACTGACAGCTGTAGAAATGCCAGAAAAAGATGCTGGACACCAGGATTTCCAGAGCAACCCCCTTTCTGAAAGCGATGTGTAGTCCATGGATTAGACAGTGAGAGAAAATTGATCCTGCTCTATTGGTTTCTCCACCCAGGCTCCAAGCCCTGCCTTCAGGAATGCTTTAAACAAACACTCTTTGGCAGTTTGATACTCCGTGGCTACCTGCTTGGTTTCATGGTACAGGTTAGGTTTGAGGATCTTTGAGCGCAGGCTGCAGGAAAGCTGTACACATGAAAGAAAAAAGAAAACTATTATACAAAATTACAGAACCAGAATGGAGACAAGAGAGCCTTAAGTGAAGCAAAATGAAATAAAGGCAACAGGATATGCTATTAGTTCTGGATATAAAGTTACTGTTAATCTGTAGCCACCAACAGTTAAGTTCAAAGTTATCTCCTAACAAAACTGTTCCACTGATGGGAACACTGAGGATCTTCTTGTTTCCAGGGTCTTAAATCACTTCAAAGTTTCAAATGGAAGCCCATGACTTCTGCTCCTTGTGAAGCAATTCCTAGCTATCTACCTCTGGGGTTAGGAAGGTTCCCCTAGCAGCTTTAGTCCCGCATTAGTAATGCAGGACAAGGACTTCAAGGCCCATACAGGAAAAAGATGCACACAATGTATTATGGAGTTAAGCTCTACGGGCATTTATACACATACTTTTTTCCAGCAACGCGCCCAAGATCCACCGCTTTGGAACAGACTCAATTGAGTCTGCTCCACTTGCAAGCTGAGGCAAACTGCACTGCGCCACGTGCCGTTGTATAAGTAGAAAATTGTGCGTTGGCGCACAGAAAATGGCAGTGGTGCGCTTTTGAGCTAAAGTGCCTCCGAGGTGCATTAGTTCAAAAGTGCACCACTGACATTTTCTCAGTGCGGATGCGCATTTCATCACTTATACCACTGCATGCGTCGCAGCTCCAGGAAGTTTTCAAAGCACCCGGTGCCGTGATGCAGGCATGTGTAATAATGCCCCATGGTGTCAGGGGTGAGAATGGCTGGGATGGAGGAGCTGCTGCTTTGTGCAACTCTGTGTTCCTTCCCTTCACTGAAGAAAGGGTGCATTATGGCAGCACTGGCTGAAGTGACTGCAGCTTTACAGCATATTATTAATAAAGCGAAACTCTGATAGTGATATTTCCCTGTAGGCCTGGGGTGACGGAAAAGGAACAAACCATTCATTTTCACAGCTCCTTTATGAGGTACACTTTGCATTACCATTCTACATGCTAACAAACAGGGAAATTACATAGCACGCCAAGGTCTGCAGAGATAGCTGGAGTCATGCTCAAGACTAGGCTTTAGTAATTCCAGACTTCCAGCCTTCCATTCTAGGACCAAGCCCTATGTCTCCTGCTCTTTCTGGACAACGGCCATGCGATTAGAGCTTTATGAAGAACTGATTTCTTCTTTCCTCGGTGAAACCAGTGATCAATTGCAAACGACTGTTGTTGGGTTGACCTGAGGTTGTTTTAATTGCTTTTATCAGCAAAATGGAAAACTAGGGGAAAAAACTGTTTCCAGTCAACTGAAATATTCCATTTAATTTACAACAAAACATTTAATTCCATTCCGGTTTTTTTCTTCTATTGTAAAAAGGTTGTTAAAATTTAGGCAAAATTGGTTTCAAAACATTCAAGATTAAAAAATGACATGTTTAATTTTAAAAAATATCAGGAAAAAATGGTTCACTTTCTGAATTGTTTTGCAACCAAAATATTCATTAGATTCAGTACAAAATGTTATATCGAAGAAAAAAATAAGACACTTGCAACTTTCCTGTCATATTTACATGATCAAAAGGAAAGCCAATTAATTGCTACTTTTCTGAAATAATCTTGTTTTCTCCACCACCTTGCCTATTCTAGTGCCCACAGATTCAAAGAAAGAAACAACTTTTCACCACAAAATCCTTGTGAGAAGAATTTCTGAATGACAGGGGACAAAGAAGGGTGCAGTGTGAAACTGAATGGCATGAACATGCTTCTACTTTCTAAGCATCTAGCTAGCTGCACTGCAGGAGTCCCAAACTGTGCCATAATGAGAGGAAAATATACAGCAGGCATGCTCAGCCTCTGGCCCATGAGTCAAATGCAGCCTGTGGAGCCATAGGTATCTGGCCCGCAGAGCTTCCCATGGATCAGGAAATTCGGCAGTATAGGAGCAGTGGCAATAAATAGGGCCACCCTCCTGTTGCCAAATTCCCAAACCCTGAGCCTTGTGCAGCAGGGGAGGGTGTCACACCGCTTCTCTCCATCCCCATGGCTATGTGAGGGTGGGCCATGCTTCTCTCCAGGATCAATGGGGCTGGGCCACATCTCCTTTGGGGCCAGCTCAAGTCCTCTTCTGTCCTCCTGTGGGGCAGGGTTAAGCCTCCTTCCCCCATGGGACTGAACTGGAGTTGGGCCATGCCCCTTCCCCTTGACAGAGCCAGGCTGAAGTTAGGACACCCTCTGCCCACATCTGCGTAGTCAGATTGGGCTCTGCTGCAGCGACCCCGGGCCAGATTGGGACCACCAACTGGATCCAGCCATGGATGGCCTGGTCACTGCACATCTGGCCTTCTAGCCAAAAAGGTTGAGCATCATTGATATACAGACTCCAAAGAAAGGTTGAAAGAATTCTGACTCTGGTGAACGACCGACTTATGGCTCTTTATGTTTGTATCAATAGGGCTACTAAGCTGAACAGAAAACTGCGAGAACCCTAGGGATGCTGTTGTACTGGTGGTATCTTTTAGGGCTGTGCAAAGCTTCGGACAGAGCTTCGGATCTGGAGAAGCTTTGGACACTTCAGGGTCAGAAGCGGCACATCCGGGTCAAAGTGCTGGCCTCGTTCAGCTTCCCAAAGAGCTTCGGAGCTGCCTCAGAGATCCGGCCATAGGGTATAATGGAGAAAAAATACAGTATCTATAACTTTGTTGTTTTCCATTCGATTTGGATGAAATTTTCAGGGGTGGTAGACTCTGCAGAGAGGATGAAGCCTGCCAAGTTTCAAGAAGATTGGTGTATAGGTTTGGGGGGAAGTGCACTCCAAATTCGTGAAAACAAAACTCCTGTCACATCTATGTGTTACAACACAGGGGGGACAAAACTGCAGGGGTGGTAGCTCTTACTGAGGCCACTACGCCTGCCTAGTTTCAAGAAAATCAGTGTGGGGGTTTGGGGGGAACTTCCCCTCAAGCTGCGGACAAACAAAACTG